GATAAGATTTTCGATCTACTGGCACCCTCAAGTGCAGCGCGCCGAAAGGCGCTTTTATTCAAAAGCACGAGATCGAGTGGTGACCGAAAGGTCGTTACCGGGTTGCGTAAAGTCATGGTTACCGATTTGTACGAAGCCCTACAGGTCCTCGGCGTCGGCCAATATCAGCGTTCCCATGGCGAAACCGTGAGCAATGACAAGAGCTCTCGCTCTCATTGTTTTATTTCATTAGAACTAAAGAAAATGAAGAAGAGCAAGCTTGACGGATCGACAAGAATGAAGGAGTCAACATTTACAATTGTCGATTTAGCAGGCTCGGAACGGGCCAGGAATGCAAAGACGGCTGGCGACCGTCTCGCGGAGGGTGGCCATATAAACAAATCTCTGATGTTTCTTGGACAATGCCTCGAACTATCCACGCAACAATCATCGGGACACCCAGCAAAAATCCCATACAGGCAATCAAAGTTAACGGAACTCCTCTTCACCAACAGCTACAATCCAGCGGCAGACCCTCAGATCGCTAGTATCATTGTGACAGCAGACCCGGCGGGCGACTTTAACGCGACAAGTCAAATGTTAAAGTATTCCGCTTTAGCGAAGAGCTCTGTAAACCTGCGACCTCCTATGCAAGTGCTGAACGGTAGCAGGAATGTTAGTGCCACCAGCCAGATCAGCCAGTGTAGTCAGGGAAGCGCATTGGAAATCACCACAGACGAGCGACCCGAGTCAGCAATGTCCCAGGATGCCACGAGCATGATTGCCATGCTGCAGCTTCAGCTGAAAGAAGCCGAGGAGAGCAGGGTCGAAATGGAAAGATTGCTCAATCAAAGGAGAATCGAGGCGGAGAGGGAGCGAGAAGAAGCCAAGGCGAGGTGTCTGGAGATTGAGAGAGCAGTCCGAGAAGAAGTTTCTAATGATATGGAACAACGAATACGCCTGATGCAGCGTATGATGCTCAACAAGCTGGAAGAAGATGCCGAATGTCGGGAGGAACACGTTGACAGGAAACTTGACATGCTCAAAAGGACTATACTAGGTGAGAATATGCTACAGATACATAAATACTCTGAGGATATCTTTTACTAACAATGCTTTTATCGCAGAATCGAACGATGAAAATGACCGAGCACGCGATGTAGAGATCGAGCAGTACGTGCGAGAATTGGAGGCTGAGAATTCAGCGCTGAGGAGTGAAGTGCTCTCACTAAAGCGAAAGAGAGTGAATGGAGACAGCCCGCTGAAGGAGAGGTCGCTGAATAGACTTAAATTTTGATAATGTGTCCTTTCTCTGCTTGTTTTGGTCTTTTTTTTTTTTTTTTTATTTTGCGAGCGGGTGTTCCGGTAGATGAAATCGTAATTTAATTGAGTATATGATACAATGCAAAAATCGTTCCAAAAAAAACACGCTAAGATGATTCAATCCTTCTTTGTGTACCAACCTCCCCCCGGAGCCGGCGAGCCATTGGGTACAGAAGCATAACCATTGTTTCCAAGGGCGTAGCCGCTGCCAGCGACACCACCAACTCTCACTCTCCTGAGTCTCTTGGGGAATTCGAAACCCAAGAACCACGCTGTGCAGCCGATGGTGGTGCATATAGCAGTTAAAATACAATACATGAACGTGGATAATGTGACGTGCTCTCCGTAGCATCTATTCTTCCCCCAGTCGTTAACGGCAGAGTCGGAGAGCGGTAAGTCGGTGCCAGTGTACCATCTGATCTTGAATCGAAGCGGGAGGTTGTCGCCAATTATTATACGAGTGGATCCGACGTTCGGGGAGACAGAGTAGGCGGTAGCGGAGTCGATGGTACCAGGGTAGAGGAGTTCAGAGTTTGCTTTGGTCAAGACGCCAGTATGCATGATGACGTTGAGAGTGGTCGAGATGTGCAGATGTGACAGATCAAGCTTGCCGATAAGGGAAATGACTAAGAGCATATCAACATGAGCGAACAAGTACTATTTCATTCACCAGACGTGGAGGGAAGCTTACCAAATGGGATCCACTCTCCTGCTTCTACGCCTACGTCACCAGTGATGCGCCGGTCGCCTGTCTGGGGCCGTGCAGGCACGCGACAGGCGAGAGGCGAGTCGTTGTGGATGTAAAACTCCCATAGGTGAAAGACATCCGCGGTTATCGATTTGACCGTACAGTTTATTGGATCTTCAGAGAGGTATTTGAACTCGAGGGGCCGACCGGTCTCGCTGCAAGTGAGAAATGGGATATATTGAAGGATGCCGTGTTCATCGAGCACGTGTTCGCCGGCCTCCCTGGGGAAATGTTAGTAAGATATTTCAAAAATATATATATAACGCGAGGTTAAAAAGACGTACAAGGTCCTGTTGAGACAAGACACGGGGACAGAGTCGCCGGGGGCGTAAGTGGCGGCTTTGAAGTCTTCGGACGAGGTTGAGACAGCGAGAGCGCCGGCGACGAGGCAACATGCGACAGGCAGCAGGAAGTCCGAGACGGGGTGGAAGAATCTCATCGTGGAGGTTGTCGCATCTCAAACTTTTTTCCACACACTCTCACACGCGGGCGCTGGATGGAGAGATACGATGGTGATAGTGACGATGATAGTGACGATGATAGTGACGGTCGATGAGGTCGAGATAGCGGCTATGTTTTTGATGGTTGGAATTTAGTGGCCAGATGTTTGGCAAGCTCGATTGGAGCTGCCGTCCGTCGCATTGCATTGGCTGTTGCATCGGAGCTAGTTGGTCCTTTGGCTGCAGGCTGCGTGCGGTACGACATCCGAACTGCCCTTTCTCGCGGGTATTATTATTATTATTTATATCACCCTGCCCGAGATCAGGTGATGGGGTTATATTGAAATTGTTTTATCGTCTTCTATTCTCGATGGAGAATAGTTAGCCAGTGATATAATATATATATTTATATATATGTATATGCTTAAGTATGTATATAAGCACTGATCAAGGTGATATGTGCTAGTGAGTTATGTCTGATTGCGTGCTTGTTGGATTCTCGGTTGGCTTTTATCCGACGTCGGCTCATTCATCCTCGTCCTCCTTCAACTCCAATCCAACCATTCCATTGCAACTGCGTCTATTTCTAATCTCCTCGTTTTGAGACTCTCTCCTGGTAAGTTCAATTCGCCTCTGGAGCATATAATCCTATCTATATAATCGAAAGCACACTGACCGGCTACTCGTAGGATCAATAATATCTCCCGCGACCCGCTCATACGTGGGAAGCCGCAGTCAATCTTATTGTGTCTCGTGCCCTGTGTCGCACGCTGCAGACAGACATTCATACGTACAGACATCAAGACCGGCCATAATCATGACCACTCCTCCGACCTCCGACCTGGGCAAAGCCTTGGGCAAGCTGGACATTGATGGGAACAACCTTCCACCTTCTCCAGCTCCCTCTACCCCGCGAAATGGAAGACGTTACGCTCTCGCCACCGAATTGGTTTATACCGAACATGGCGACCAATACAACGCTTCCTCCATGCCCATATATCAGGTACGACCTCTCTCTTCTCCATGACAAATTTACATTGCACTCATTTCTTGTTATTGGTTTTTTTGCTTAGACGGCTACTTTCAAACAATCTTCCGGCGCTGGGGGCTCTGAATATGACTACACTCGCTCCGGGAACCCCACCCGCTCTCACCTCGAGAAGCACCTCGCCAAAATCATGTCTGCCAACCGTTGTCTCACCGTGTCTTCCGGTATGGCTGCCATGGATGTCATCTCCCGCCTACTCAGACCAGGCGACGAAGTCATCGCTGGCGATGATCTTTACGGCGGTACCAACCGCCTTTTGAAATATCTCAGCACTCACGGCGATATCGTCGTTCATCACATCGATACCACCAATCCTGAGAACGTCAGAGGTTATGTGAACGACAAGACAAAACTCGTCCTACTCGAAACTCCCACCAACCCTCTGATCAAGATCGTCGACATCCCCTCGATCGCTCGTCTGGCGCATGAAATCAACCCTGCCGCTCTCGTCGCTGTCGACAACACCATGTTGTCGCCTCTTCTCCAAAACCCACTCGACCTTGGTGCTGACATTGTTTACGAGAGTGGAACCAAATACCTGTCCGGCCATCACGATCTTATGGCTGGTGTCATAGCTGTCAACAGTCTCCCCCTTGGTGAAAAGCTCTACTTTACCATCAATGCTAGCGGCTGTGGCTTGAGTCCCTTCGACTCATGGCTGCTGATGCGTGGGGTCAAGACGCTTGGTGTACGTATGGAAAAGCAACAAGCCAATGCCATGAGGATTGCCACTTTCCTCGAAGACATTGGCTTCAAAGTCAGATATCCCGGGTTGAGAAGCCACCCTCAATACGATCTTCATTGGAGCATGGCTCGTGGCGCCGGTGCCGTTCTGAGTTTCGAGACCGGAGATGTAGACATTAGTGAAAAGATTGTTGAGGCCACCAGGCTGTGGGCCATCAGTGTTAGCTTTGGCTGCGTCAATTCTCTCATCAGCAGTAAGTATCACTTTTTCTTTTTCCAAGTTCAAGATGATAATTGATACTTTTCTAGTGCCCACACGCATGTCTCATGCTTCCATTGACGCCAAAACACGCAAGGAGCGCAACCTTGCCGAGGACTTGATTAGATTGTGTGTGGGTATCGAAGATTGTGAAGATTTGCTTGACGACCTACAAACTGCTGTATGTTTCCCCGCTCCCTCCCTTCCTAAAAAGTTGATTCGCTGCTAACAGTATTTCTTCTCCACAGCTTGTTAAAGCAGGTGCGGTTCGCGTCATGCCCGAGGGAGGCATGCAAGCGATTGATTTCGCTGCTGGAGAGACCCTCGCGCAATAAGAATATAAAATATGTAATAATGTACGATATAGATGGGATGGGAGTAGTATGGCGTAAAAGTTTATTTGCCTTTTTTGTATATTCTCCTTTTTTTTGGCATGTACACGATATTCTTATATTCTCTTATAAAAAGAAGATCCCACCGCGTAGTATCTACACAGACGGATCAAAAAGTAAAAAAGAGGGCTTGAGGTGGGAGTTGAACCCACGACCTCTCACACTTCAGACTTGTGTTTGACACCAGCGGGTGATCAACCCGAAGCGAGAATTCTGCCACTGAACTACCCAAGCTTGAATGCTGGCATGCCCCCATTAAAGCGTATCTAAACACTCCTTCATATTCTATTTATACAGCTCGCTCTCGTGACTAAGCGGACTCGCTCACGTGATCGGGACGACTCCAGTCGGTAATACGTTCCAGAAGGCTGTCGAACATTCACGCTTCGAAACTATTACCCTCTCCGGGATAGACAACCTCTCACTCTCTCTTGCTCACTATTACAAAGCGGGCACTTACGCGGCCCTCCCGAGACTCTATTCGCACCTATAAAGCTCGCAAAGTAACCTGTGCTTCATCATGGCGTTCACCACAGATATCAAAGGCAAAGGAAAGGCCATAGTCCCCACAGACGAAAACGATAGCAGCTCTCCCATCATGGATTCCTCCGGCGATGTAACAGCCATAGGCAAGCACTGCGAGGTGCCCTCTTGCCACCAACTCGATTTTCTACCCTTTAAATGTGGCAGCTGTGAAGGGTAGGTTTTAATTCACACGGCGGGATGGGGTTTAGAAAGAGTACGGATGCCCTTCAAAATCCTTCTCGCAAATCCTTAAGCGCGCGTATACAAGAGTCCTCGTATCACTGGAAAAGAAACGGATCTAATATTCTTCCCATCATATATAGCACATATTGCCTCGATCACCGCACCGAAACAGCACACGCGTGTCCAAAGGAAGGCGAATGGGCGAGGCGGCGGCGTCAAAACTCCCTGAACAGCAAGCCGACCTCCATGGTCTCCGGCGCCAGTGTCCGCCTAGGATCATCTTCGACGCCGGGACCATGCGCCAACGACGGCTGTAAAACAGTAATCAACACTCCCAAAATGATAGGTGTGGCTTGTCCCGCCTGTCGAAAGCAATTTTGTCTACCGCATAGACTACCGGATCAACACAACTGTAAACCGATAAGAAACGCGGCAGCGATAGCCGAGCAGGATAAGAAGCAAACGGCATTGAGCAAGTTTAAACTTTGGGCGAGCAGCGGCAGTTCCAAGCTGAAAGACATTAAGGCAACTCCAATAACACAAAAGCAGAAGAGCGTAGCCGCTCGGCTGGCAGAAATGAACAAGATGAAAAGAGAGGCAAAGGGTGACGATAAGGTTCCACAGGAGAAGCGGATCTATCTTTACACTCAAGCGGAGGCTAAGTCTACATCTGCAAAGCTACCGGAAGGGACTTTATTTTACAACAAGGAGTGGAGCGTGGGAAGGGTCATGGATATCACAGCGAAACATCTACAAATCGCAAACGTGAACAATCAATCTGCAGATGACGAGAAGAAGCTAAGGGTATTCCATGTGGAAAGCGGTAGGTTGCTCAGCTTTGGAGAGAAGATTGGAGACACCTGCGTGGATGGCAACACGGTTGTTCTCCTGCGAGGTATCAAGATGGAGGAAATGTTGGATCTGTAATGTATATCGGGTGTTTGTGGCGTTTTGAGGGGCGTTTATGAGCAGCATTTTACCTCTATATAATATTGTTACAACGATAATATCACTTGAAGCCTCGATAGTAATTTCTATTGGGCGACGCAAATATTCCAACTGTTCCTGCCTGCCGCGCGAGTTTTCGCACGTTTCTTTTGCATACAATGGAGAGATATTCCCCTCGAATACACGTGAATTAACGCTGACATAAAGCCCAAAATGGCAAAGAGATTCAATTGTGGCATGCATGCCACACGATCGTGTTCGATAATCCAATCAATCGTCAAGATGGGGCAGGTATCGAATCATCCCGTCGTCATATCCTCTCTTCTTCTTTTAGCAAGACTAGCACAAGCCTTTGTGCTTGCGTTCCAGATCGCGCAGGCGCCGGACCTCCTCATAAGAACATATCCTTATTCAAATCCATTCGCCTCTCCCATCGATGTAACCTACTGTCAATCTGGTCCTGGAAATGGCCCAGGAAAGGATGTATTATCGGTCAGCGTAATAAATGGGGTATCGCAGAGTGTACAAACGAACACCGACTACGAAATATACGGAATTGCATTATGGAAAGGAGTAGATTGCACTGGAAAACCAGATCTGGTCATAAGATGGAGATCTGACGTAGAGGGTGTGCAGCTTGCGGATCTCGTATTCATCGATCTCATAACGCCTATCGGATCGTGGAAGGCACTCGAGCAGAATGACCCGATGCTGCAGATGATGGACCCGGAAGGGTCGGTTTATGATGTGCACCAAAACCGTCTATTATACCATGAGAGAGGCGAATGGGTTGTAATATCCGAAGATTTTGATAACCTAGAAGATGCTGCACAGGCGATAAATGGAATGGCTTGCGATATCCGCAACGAATATGAGGCATATTCGAACGTTTCGGATGAACCTCTACTAGCGTCCCCGGACCTAGAGGCGCTCAAAGTCACACCTCTCGCTCCGATGGTTGCTATGATGGCGCGAGAACTCGGTCGACAGCAACCGATGACTACTGTTGAGAATCTTGAGAATCAGATGGCGCTTCTCGATGAGTTATTCAAAAATCCGCCTGAGGGTTCTTTCGATCAGATATCTGAGAGATGGCAGACCGTAATGGAAAGAGTCTATGGGAAGCGCCAGCTAGATAATGACGGTATGCCTGCGAAAGAGGAAGCTACTATGATTGAAGAAGAAGTTTATCCGGGAAATTCAGTCCATGACGGTGTAAGACTAGAAGCTTCCCCCGAAGACATTGCCGATAGTCGGTTTGAAAATATGGGCCCGTGGGGTCGAGAGAATCAGAATCAAAACATACAAAACTATTATTTTGAGATGGTGATGAACATGTTTGGGGGTGACCATACCGCCAATTTTCAGGATTCGTTGGGAGAGAGTCAGCATATAATGCCTTCTACGTATGACGTTCAGTTAGGAACTCCATCTTATGGTGACTTACATCAAGTAGACCAGGAGGCGCCATTTGAAAATGTTGGTACATCGGATTGGGAAGCGTATTCTAACCATTTATCTGGAAACTACCAAGGTGAAGCCAATACGCGGCTAGAGCAGAATCAAAAGATTGTAGAAGAAGAAGAATTTCAGGAAGAATGGTCGCCGCTAGATTCTCAACGAGGATGGGAACCGGGAGATGAAGATGACGCTGGAAGTATATAGATCTCCTGTAAAGCGATTCTATCGACAAAACTTGAAATTTACCAGTAGATTTATTTGCATAGAAGCATACTCTATTAAACTATCTAATATTAAGCAACCACTCCGTCGGTTCTTAAATCTTCGATCTGATTTGCCGAAAAGCCGAGTTCTTCAAGAATATCGTTTGTATCTTGGCCTAGTGTAGGTGGAGCATTTCGAATCGATGCTTCGGCATTTGAGAATTTGAAGGGAGTATTGACAAGTTTAACGGGTCCGCAGGTTTCATGATGGACTTCTTGCACCATTCCTCGAGCCAAAACTGCGAATATTAGTATCACTCTCAAACAGGTTTATTCTACCATATTCACGTACCATGCTCGTGTGTTAAGGTATCATGAACATCGTTCACGGCGGCATAAGGCATTCCGCTGCCTTCAAATATTTCCAACCATTCCTTTATCAAAGTTAACCGCAGTCCCTATATTATGATCGCTCTATTTTGTATTTCGGAGCTTACTTGAGTGGTCTTTTTCTTGGTTTCTTCCCCAATCATCGGGACCAAAGTGTGCCGATATTCCACTCTCTTGGCGTTGGTCACAAATCTTTCATCGACAGCCCATTCTGGAAATCCGATTCTCTTGCACAATATTCCGTATAACTTGTCATTCCCACCTCCTAGTAAAATACTCCCGTCGGAGGTCGGAAACGCTTCATAGGGTACAATACTGGGATGCGCAGTACCCCATCTGCCCCCGTCCCGTTTCCCGGATATGAGGACGGAAGAGGCGATATTCGCGAGCGTTGCCACTTGACAGTCTGATAGTGACATGTCGATATGCTGCCCTTGCTTGGAGAAATTACGAGAAAGGAGGGCGGCTAGAATGGCATTTGACGTATATAAACCGGTAGTTAAGTCTATTCAACAGAGTACATACTCCCATTACTATGATAGCACCCTTCGAATAGCAGAAATAAAACCTACCGGTAACCGCCACTCCAACTTTAACGGGAGCACCACCACGCTCTCCTGTTATATGCATTAACCCCATCTCTCTATATCTCGTGTCAGTGAATTCTTTTGCGTTCTAGACTATAAAGGGCTATCAAATGACTAACGCTTCAACCATGACATCATATCCGGCTCGGTCACTATACGGACCTGTCTGACCATAGCCTGTGATGCTAGCATATATTAACCCTTCGTTTTGAGACTGTAGACTCTCATAATCGAGACCATATTTTGCTAGGGTCCCTGGGAGATAATTTTCAACAAGTATGTCACTCGTTTTTGCGAGGTTTTTGACTATGGCTTGTCCATCTGGTGCTTTGAAATCCAGAGCCAGAGACCGTTTGTTGCTTTGGAAGGAAGGTCAGGAATGGTTTTCTCTTTGATTAGAAATGTTCATACTAACCGATTCACCTACATTTCAGCTATTTATGATTAGTTTGTGTATTTCTAAGATTTAATAGAGGAATGAGAAGGACTGACTGCCAAGAAATAAGCACTTTCCCCGGGTCCAGGTTTGCCGTCCTTGCGTGGTGCGTAGGGAGGCCCCCAGGCTCGAGTATCGTCTCCTCGAGTTACATGTTCTACTTTGATAACATCGGCACTATCCATCTGGCGTCAGATACCTGCCCAAAGAGGTAACACGATTTCATAGTCGACTAACCCTAGATCGCCTAAGATTTGTGTACAATAAGGCTACAAGCTGGTTAGAAAATGAGTTGATTTTGTTGGAATACTCGGCTGCTCTATTTACCCCAGCAAGCACTCTAGTCAAGTCGAGCACTCGAATACCAGCCAGAGGCTGGGATTTCGCTGGTGCAGTGCTTTGGTACCTGGCACCTTGGAGAAAAGTGGCACGTAAAGGTAACGGAACATGAATGCGCCTAAAGAGCCCGCGGCAGTTGTATCTACCACACACAACTGCTGA